CATGCACCCGCGGCGCCCCGAGGGCTTCGACGGCCTGGGCTACCGCGGGGGGGGCCGGGAGGAGCCGGGCCCCGGAGCTAGGCCCTTCGGCAGCGCCTCGGAACTGGGCCACTGGGTGACCACCCCCCCTGACATCCCCGGCAGCCGCAACCTGCACTGGGGGGAGAAGACGCCGCCCTACGGGGCTGGGACCCCGCTGGGGGGAGTCGGCCTCAACGAGGAGCCCAGCCTCGGGGCGGGCGGCCCCGGCGCCGGTAAGGAAGGGGCCCGGCTTCTCGCTTGTCCCCCCGGGCCCCCGCCCGTTAGCGGGGTGACCCGCCGAGGCGGGCAAGGGCGAGCGGGCGGCGGCCATGGGCTTGGCGCCGCGGCCTGGCGGCGACCGGGTTTGCCCGGCGCTGGCCCTGGCCCTCCGGAGGGGCCTGTGCAGCCGGGGGCTGGCGATGCTGAAGGGCCAGGAGGTCGGGGCGGGGTGGGGGGATAATAAAAAGTTATTTAGAAGAAAGAGAACACGGTATATCGCCTGTTGCACCCCAGCAGCCGTAGGTAGGGACGGGCAGGTGGGACTGCAGGTTGTGGCTGAGCAGTGGTTGCTGCCTGCCTCAGCCGTGTCCCGCAGAAACCCTCCCGTGTCGCCGAGGGCAGGCCGTACCCCCGGGCCTCACCGGTGTGTTTTGTTACATAGTCGGTGCCGATGGGTTAGTGGTTACAGGGGGTAATGGTTTTAAATCAGTAGAGAGGAGATTTAGATTAGACATCAGAAAGAAATTCTTTACAGTGAGGGTGGTGAGGCAATGAACAGGTCGCCCAGAGAAGCTGTGGATGCCCCATCCCTGGAAGTGTTCAAGGCCAGGCTGGATGGGGCTTTGAGCAACCTGCTCTAGTGGGAGGTGTCCCTGCCCATGGCAGGGGGGTTGGAACTTGGTGATCTCTAAGGTCCCTTCCAACCCAAACCATTCTATTATGAGTCTTTTGCTTGCCTCACTGCTGCGTTGAAAAAGTGCAAGTGGCACAGCATGACCTACTGAAGTAGCCCCTGCCCCCGTGCATCATCGTGGAGGAACCCTGGAACTGGTGGGATCTGGGGGAGCAGCTCTGTTCAAGTCTGTTCCAGCAACGGTTGGGAAGCTGAGCAGAAACCCTCAGAAGTACAGCACCATTGTATGTCTTTGTGAAATTGAGGTGGATTAAGAAAAACTTGCTAAACCTGGGCTACTGAACATCTGTATTCTTTAATTAAAAGGATGTTCTGGAGCAGTTTATATATACTTGAGTACCAAAGTTTTATGAAAGACTAGTTTATTTAAAATTGCATTGCATTAATGGGTGAGCTGTCGTGCAGTATTTCTTTTCAGGTCTTACGATGCGTGCAACCCTGAGCTGGACTTTCATCCATGCAAGCACTACTTAAAGCACTACTTAAATATTACTACATACTGGGACTCTACCTTTTTTTTTTTTTGCTTCTTCCCCTATCTATTCATGGAAGGCATGTTGATTCTGCATTTTGTAGGACTGATTAGGAGTTGCTGTATCATTGAGTCCAGCTTCTGCAGAGAAGAGAGAGAGTCTTATCATTCCTCTTAGGAGGGCTGCCACGTCTGTGTGGAGCTCTGCTGAAGTTACTGTCATTACCCGTGCTTACAGCTCCTTGCATCCTGTAGGTTGTAGGGCTGAACATTAATTTACACATGCCTTTACAGTTCTGTTACTCTTCGTAAAATCTCTTCTGATAATTCCCGATGTGTTGATTGTCTGTCTGGTAGCTTACAACAGGGAACTGAATCTGTTACTCTTGTTGAAGTTTTAACAGTTCTCCAGTAACTAAATTTTTTGCAAAGGAGTGAAGACAAACAACTGACTTGAAAATTCATATTGTGTTGATGTTTGTTACATCATCAATTGTGTTTTGTGTTACTTTTCCTGAAGTTCTCTCTTTTTACCGTTTTTGTTTTTAAAATTATTTTCACCACAGATATCTAAATGTATGTTGCAGAATTACTGTAAACTGTCATGCATGGTAACTTTTCCAGTGGTTGGTTTGAGTTAGATATTTAAGATACTCTATATTATTGGAGTTAGATATTTAGATATTTAAAATATTCTGGTTTACTGTTCACTTTGCCCTTTTTTTTTTCCTTTCTCTGTTGCTGTTTTAAGACAAGAGTACTTTTATTTATAAAAGTATGTGCAAACTCACATGCAGTCCAAAGTGCAGATATTCCTGGGGGAGTATTTTTTTTATATCCTATCTTGCTGAGTTGCCATAAATATTGTGGTTTAGTGCTTGCAATATTCTGAAGAAAGTAGAGTACAAAATTAGTTTTTCAGATCATCTGCATGGTATTTTCTCCCACTTTGCAATTATAACTGCTGTATATTCTGTTTTCATTTTTTTTCAGAGCAGTTGAACAGATTTGCAGGCTTTGGTATTGGCCTTGCAAGGTAAGTGTCGTCTAATAATTGTCACTGATAGGGAAGTAATAATGCTGTAGTTGTCTGTGATTTCTGTGTATGCTTTTGTGATGTTTTTTTATGCCAGTAGACTTATGCAGTTGAAATGCCTTTAGAAGCCTACTCCCTGAAATCCGTTCAGGTTTCCATTCTCTTTAACGGAAGTGTTTCTCAAAGTTACTTAGCAGTGAATATAAGAAACAAGTTTTTGTGTGGTATGCTCAAGATATGTATACCCTTTCAGAGAAATCTGAAAGTAATACTGGAAAACTGTTTTCATATTTGCCACTTCTATTAATACTTTTAGGTAATGTGAATGTTTCCTAAGAAAGTGAAAATGTCTTCAGGCATATTATCAAAGTATCCTGGAACAGTAATGTTGATCTAAACAAGTGGTCCGTTAACCATTTTATTCTTTATTATGTTGACACTGATTATTGATAGTATTTTTGAGAAAGTAATGGACTTTAACTTGCTTAGCAACATTTTCAGAGCTTACATTGTGAAAAGTAAGGATCATGATAAGTTTAAGAATTTTTTTTGTGGGATGCTTGCTCAGTCACACTCACCTGATCAGATTTTTCTTGGTGAATGTACTGATGCAACTTGTCAAAGGGTGGGAAGTAGAGGTTTTGTCTTGAAAAAGTTATGACTGGAAAAAGGCTTACTCCTTGTTGACCTGAACGTGAGACTGCTCTGAGAAAAGTGCTTCTCTCTTCAGAATATGGGAGTGCTTGTATCACCCCGTTAGACCAACATGGGAAGTTGAGGTTCTTAGTCCTTCTACGTAAGAGGAGGGCCTTTTACTTGACTGCTAGCCTGTCTTGCTCCTTATCCTGTCATTATCACCCTTGAGGCTTATCAGAATCTCTTTTAACCAGTCTGAATCACTAAGATAGAAGACAAAGTCAGTTAAAGAGCTGGATTGGTTTTTTTGTTCTTTCAGTTGGGTGGATTTACCTGGGATTTGATTAGCTGTGAAAGCCAGCAGGCACCAGCTAACTGTACCAGAGAGAGAAGGGATAAGAAGGACTAGGAAAATGTTTTTGGCAAGTAATGAGTTGCTTAAATTAGACCATCCCATCTCCCTGTCTCTCTTCTCTCACTGTTTCCCTTGCAGTGGCTCGGCTGTTCACTTGATAAGTCTGTTCACTTTGTTAAAATAGAGTTGGGGGGGGGGGGAGAAGAATCCCGCCCCCAGCATGTAAAGAGTTATTTATTTCCAACCTTGTCAAGCTGAATGAGCTCAGGAGAATACCAGGAAAGGAATGGAGCCATAAGGCAGGAGTATGTTGATCTCCAGAAGCAGAGATGTGTTAGTGTGGCTCAGTTGTCCTTTTGAACTGATTTGATTTAAATCAAGCATGACAAAGTTTTCCACGTCTGGAGTACCGAGGCCACTAGGACTAAAATGACCACATGGTTTTGCGAAAGAGAGGTGATCAACATTTTATCATTACTGAGAGCAATTCTCCATGCTTCTGATTTTGCATTGATCACTTGTCAAGACACACATGGTTCAAGTCAGAAATCTGACAGAAAACACTCAAAAGAAAAGGCGAGTTTTTGCGAGGTTAGGTGAGTTGCCTACCAGGAGGGTTTAATAGATAGCAGCTGTAGCACAGTGAAAGTTTCACCTCTTTTGGTAGTAGCAAACTACTAATTAGCTTAATAGTTATGAAACTGCAGGCTCAGTACTTTTCTGTGCCAATTAGTAGTTGTTTATCCAGAGTAAAATCCCCATAAGAGGCCTACCCCAGATGATCCTATAGGTTGGTGGTCAGAGCTGTTACTTGGGATGCTTAGACAAAGCCTGGGGGTTTTGCTTTTCTAATTCCTATACCAGGCTTGAACCACATACAAATAAGTACTCTGATCACTTTGAGATGCAATGAAAAGTTTCTTTGCGTGGCTGCGGCCAGGAATCCTACTTCAGAACTGAGAGGACTTTCCTGTGAAGGTTTGATTGAAATACCATTTCTGGATGTGGAGGGAGAGTTGGTCTGGGGCAGTGTCTGCTGTTAATACCAATCTTCTAGCCTTGCTAAGGAGAGTCTTGAGTATGTGGAATTAACATAATAGTGGAAACTAATCCTTTCATAATTCTGTCTCTGGCCTGTTCTGTTCCCTAATATTTTGCAGCTGAAGAAATCTGGTACATTGCTTTATCTATAAAAATACATACATATATATGTATATACACCTGTGGGCTTTTTCATAGTGAATGTATGTGTGAGGTTTTTTGATACTTGTTCCTTTGTAGTATTGGCAGCCATCCAAAATGCCTCATTAATTCACTAGATAATGCATAGTTTTTCCAAACACTGATCCAATGTTTTTAGAGAAAAATAACAAGACTTTTCTAATAAATTTATGATCACTTCCATGTTTTAAATACACTTTTCTTTTAAAGCCTATTTACAGAAAATGTGTTGGCACATCCTTGCATTGTTCTACGTCGTCAGTGTCAGGTATGTCTTATATTATCTCTTCCAGTCAGTGCTCCTGTGTACTGTGATATTTCTGTGTTTTCATACTCTGTAGAGCATAAGAAAGCCTTACAGTTCTTAGGGAGACACTACTACATTAACAAATGTTTATTTGTAGCATACATGTTTTCCATTCTGAAATTTAACTTATCTCGATCGTTCTTTTCATTTGGGCAGTGGAAAACGAATTGCAGCAAGTCAGTGTTTCAGAGTCCACGGAGCAACTTCCAGATCCCCATTTACAAGCAGGATGCTTTGTTTCCAGTATTTTCTGGTTTATGCTTGCTTTATTCTTTACGTTTTCAGCATACAAATACATAAAAGTTCTGCTTGTTTCCCTAAATTTCAGTGAGAATTCATATTATGGTCACTTAAGCTGACCTTTACAGAGATAAAGTCCTTAGTTTGGAAGTACTTTTTCCTTTAGAGTTGTAACATCTGCAAGTATGTTTATAAAACTGCCATTGTTTATATTTTTAACAGGTGAACTATCATGCTCGGAATTATCATCTCACTCCATTTACTATTGTCAATATTATGTACAGCATCAATAAGACACAGGTCAGTATTTGCTGTGAGGCTGTATCTGAGCAGTGAAGGTTACTATAGCACATGTGTACATTGACATCTTTATGTAACTGGTGGTTAAAAACATTTTAATTGTAAGGGTTTCTTATTTTTATGGTTGAGGAAGTGTTTCAAGATAGTTGTAAATTATTTAAATTATTTTTTAAGTAATACGGTATTTAGTGGGGAAAATTTGCAGATGTTAGAAAAGAAAAAAAGGTCCCCGAAACTAATTTTTTCCTTACAATTCTAAAAATTACTAATCTTTATGTGGATGAAGAGATTATCCAAGTGACTACTTCCAAAGATAGTAGTGCATGAATTTCCAATTCTGCATGGGAATGACAATCCTGAAACTCGTATCAGAAGACAGTAAGAAAAGACTTTTTGGATTTCTTACAGATGGGTTTTAACATCTCAAATCTGTCTCACAGAAATTGGTGTTAACTTTATAGTACAGAGTATTAACAGTGAGAGATGAGTCTCCAAACTTGTGACAACTGCTTGAAATTATTGAAGACCAACAATTTCTTCAGAGCTGAAAAGTTAGTTGTCACCTGAATTTGGTGATAGTGAAGTTTGATGGTATAACTGTAGACCCATGTGGTCTGAATTTGCTGAAATTTTATAAAAATTAGTAAGATGAAAATATTTTTGAGTTTTATGTTGCATGAATCAAAATGTGTTGCCTATTTAAAAACACAGGGTCCAAGAGCTCTCTGGAAAGGAATGGGCAGCACTTTCATTGTTCAGGGCATAACCCTGGGAACAGAAGGCATCATCAGTGAATTTACACCTTTGCCAAGGTATTAAACGTTTCGGGTTGGTTTTTTTTTTGACTGCTTCTAAAACATTGATCATCAGTTGTTGATTTATATTCCAAGTGTTAGAATTGTAAGGTTGTTTGAAAAATTTTACTTGATTAGGACAGTCAGACATTGAACAGGTGTTTTCAGCACAGTGTAGGTGTCTTGGCGAAGACAACCTTGTAATTAATAAGTAGTGAGAGATTCTTTCTGGGAGCTTTATATGTTTGGTATGTCTGCCTACTTGTCTGAGTACAGAAATAATGTAGAAAGTTTGTAGTCAGTAAAATTCCACTGTATTAAAAGAATCAATAAGTTTGTTTTGATATTTTGGTTTGTATTTAGTGCTACTAGCAAATGCCATGTCTAAAGTAAGAAGTTATAGTTTCGTTAATCTAAATACAGAGAACTTACACAGCTAATGAACTAGCACTGACATCTTGCTGAACATTTTCACTGTCTTTGGTAGGTGAGAGAACAGAATGGCCTGCATTAATAAATGAGAAGACATGGTAAATTGGTAAATAAGAGTCTATGTGGCTGTCAGCTTTGTCTTCTGTCCTCCTTTATCAACAACTTTATGTAGATTATTCAATATTCTTACAACAAAGGGGTTATAACTAAAAATGAGTGACTTCATTTAAAGAAATACTTACCATTCTACTTCTGTGTCCATGTTTGGCCATAGTAGTTTAGTAATAATTTTTTATTTTTATTTGCAACTCTACCTGCTTTTTGTGCTGAACTGTAAGTAAGCAGGTTGTGTGAGAGAGTTTACTATATAAAGTAATGAAAACTTGTAGTGAAATGCAAGGAAACTGTGAGATAATCAAAAGTTAGGAAAAGACACTTAACAGTTGCGAGGGAACACACTGAAGCCAGTAAAATGATAAAGACCTGTCTTGGAAAATATATTAGGGAAGCAGGCAAACAGTTGGCTTTAAGGCTGTTTAAGTTTGAATGGACCAGTGGGCTTGAGAATCATGTTAGCTTTCAGAAGAGAGAAGTGTCTATTTTCATTTTGTGGACAGAAATGAAGTACTTAAGGGACATGGAAACTGGCCTACTTTTAAAGATAAGAAATCTAGGCAGGCTGAATCAAACTACTGTTGTGATGCGTGCATACTAATAAAAGTAAGTCTTTCCAGTTTCTGGAGCATCAGAAGCATTTTGTACTTAAATTGTGTGGAATGTGTATTTAAGGTCATTGGTCAGCTCGTTCCCATACATAATTGAAATCCCCAGGCATACACTTCTCTCCCAGTGTGCCTTGTTCTTGTTTTTAAATACTGCTGTAGGTGATGCTTAAGTTCATGAGATGTGATATAGCATTTATATTTTCATAGTTCTGATTTCTGTTCAGTGTGAGCAAGGATTTTCTTCTTGTGGGCCAGTTGTTCATTAGTTTGGAAAGTAAGCTGGGGCTGCTGCCAAAAGAAGCAATCCTTTCTGCTGGTACCTGCTCATTCTTTCCTCAACACTACCCCCATCCTTGTGTCGAGACAGTGTGTAAACAGGCATGAAATGAACTTCACTGGGGAAGTGATATGGCTAAAATGGTTGTCTTGTACGTGCACCACTCCTAACATTTTTGTGCTAAGTTGAATGTAGTTCTGTGGTGGACAAATTCATTTTGTAATTCTTCTTCCACTGCAGGGATAGCTGCACTGGAGTTGACAGGTTAGGCTTTCACATGCTAGTTGGGTTTCATTTTCCACATTTTAAGTATTATGGCTTATTGGATGTGATGCAAGCATTCAAATTAGATAATGGTAAATGGTCTTCCCTTCTTCAGTGACTGACCTATGTATTTTGGGAAGTGGTATCTACTAGTAACACACAGTTCCTCAAAAAAGGTATAGTTTCCTTTCTTAGATTAGGTTTCTTGTCACTACAGTCAGTGGGTGAGTGTGATTCCTAGATGAGAACTGAAGCTGAACACTTTATAGTTTGTTTCTAAAAATGTATAGTTTAGCTTGTCCAACATTTCACACACAAATATCTCTACCTCATAGCTAGAGTATTTAGAGTATGCATAGTAAATATATTTGGTATTTGAATATTGTCTTGAGCTAGGTGGGATTACTTTTTCTGTCAAGTGGAGTGTAGTTAATGTTTACTGCTCATATCTTGAAGTGTGTAACTAGAAAATAATAGTTTAAGGGGTTTTTTTTAAGTCACCTTTGTGATAAACACATGGGGTTTGTTCTGTTTTACCAGGATATGGTAAAGTTTGGTCTTAAGCCAAAAGATTTAAATCTGTATAGAACTACTTATGCACCTTCTAGTCTGACCTATTGTACTTGGTCTTGCCTAACTGTGCCAGAATATGGGTTAGGTTTTCAGGAAAGAAGCAACAACTGGGTAAACATAACCTCAAAGAACAGGAAAAGCATAACCAAAGCAAAACATAATAAAAAAATACATGTTGATAAAGGAAACTATTGAGATTTTAAAATAATCCACTATTCCATGAGAATGGCTTTAACCAAGTTAGTCCATAAATATGCAAAATAAATGCAAAACACTAAAGCCAGTAGCTGTGAGAGCTACAGACAACTTATTAGCAATTCAAAGCAATTCTAAAGGATGTCTAATGGGCCTGAATAACTTCTAAAAGTCAAGCAGGATTTGTTAAATGCATAGCTTATGTCTTTCCGCTATGGGAAATCCTGAAATGTAAACTGATAGTAAAACACCAATATGAAACTGGATGTTGACACCCATGGAAGAAATGCTTGAGAATAATGTGTTTTCGTGCATATAACAGTAAATATATTTCTTTTTAGGGAGCTTTCGCATAAGTGGAACCTCAAGCAGATAGGTGGACACCTTCTACTCAAAGGGTAAATATAGCATGTGTTGTTACCTTATGTCTTACTACCTAAACATTAATAAAACTACTAAATGTACACTAGTTTAATCTGCAGCTATGGTTACTTGACAGAGTGCTAATAGTAATTTTCAAATTTTAATTTTTTTTAACAATCTTGATTACACCACTGTGATAGTGTTGATGAACCACCAGATTATACCACAGATAATTTTTGCATACTAGATCCTCTGTCTGTATGGAACCTGACTAGTTTAAAAGATTAGATTCTTTCAGTAATTAAATTATGATATCAGAGACACCTGAATCAGTATGACCACACAGAAATAGAATTCAACAGAACTTCAGACTGAAGTTTATTTCAACTTACTGATGTGTGTTTTAATATTTGAGTTACGGTTTGTTAATTTTCGCTGAGGTATGACTTGATAGATAACTTTATTTGGATACGTTACGGTGTTGTCATGACCTTAATTCTTATCTTGTTAATTTCTGCAGTTTAACGCATGTGATAGCAATGCCTTTTTATTCTGCGAGCCTCATTGAAACTGTACAGGTAACTTACATATATTTACAGAATTTGAAAAGATACTGTTACTCTCTTTATAGATTAGATCACGTGGAGAAGTGAGTCTTTGGATTCTGGTTTATGTTGCAGTAGTTGCATTTGTTTTGCTTGAGGCTGTATGGTGTTAACTGGGATAAAAACTATTTACTGTCATGGGTGTATTAGTTTTACTATCTGAAGTCAATCTAGAATTAGAACGGACATTTAATAGTTGGAATATATTATGTATGAAATGGGAACAAGTTATATCTATATGAAGTTTTGTTTATGTTAAGGTTTTAGAACGTGCTAGGCAAGCTGTTGCAGTGACCCCTTCCGCTGTAACAACTATAAAGCTGTTCCAGGTTGGTGGAGGACAGTCACTCTCATGTCATTCAGTCATCAATATACTAATTTTCACTCATAGCATAGACAAGTTGTAAGTATGTCAAGACCAATTTAGATCTAGCTGTTGGAACCTACAGTTCAACTGCTGGTGTATGTCTACAACATGGTGCATTTTCTGGGAAGAAGGGACAAATGAGACTGACTTCTACAGTTTCTTAGTTTCAGCCTGTACTTTAGAGGCAGGTAGTCTTAAGGGACAGGATTTTGCTCTGCACAGAGGATCCAAGCTTAAAGGAGCCAGAAGGTACTAGGAAGGCTGTTCTGTCTAACTGGCCACGTTATGGACTAACAGGACAGGTGAGGTTAAACGTCTATGCATGGGGGCATGCGGGTAGACTCCCAACAACAAACTCAGATTCTCTAAAGTTACTCTGTATTAAAGAAACCCTCCTCCCCTCTACTGTTGAATTATTTTGAAAATAATATTCATTTATCCAGCCTGAGTGGATCTCTGAGTTTGTGGAATCCTTGGGAAGCTAACTTAGGAAATTTATTTCCTGGGGATCGGCTTTACCCCGAGTATGCCATAATCGTGGAACTAGAAACAGTGGAGGAACACTTCTCATGTTTCTTGAGTTCATAGTAGGCCACAGAATGGAATATTTTATTCGGGTACTTTACTGCTTGTATTTTTGTCTGAAAGAATGTTCTCTGTGGTGTTGGACATGGGAACGTATTTACCAATAAATGACAAGTGAGAACATTATTCAGAGCCTGTCTTCTGTTTGCAGGATAAGTAACAAAGTTTCTTTGCTAGAAAGCAGCTCAATAGGAAAACAAAAAGCCCAAACATCTCCTCCAGCCTTTTAGGCAGGTGGTCATCTCTGTAAAGCATTGCTTAGGAAGATAATTACACTGAGATCTGTGGGTTTTAGGCTTAATAGGTTCAGCTGTGTGCAAATATTTTACTGAATAGGTTAATATATGCTGTATGAAATGCATTCTCCAGTTCCTGGGAACGTCATCACGAGCATTCTTGTTAAAAACACAACGGAGGTAATGATAGAGCTTGTGAAGATTTTACGCTGTATTAATCAGTACAGGGAGGAAACTTGTCTTATGTTTATATTATATTCGTGTGCTGCAATGAGCAATAACAAACTATAAAAGTTAAAGATTGTGGGATTTGTTACTAACAGCTTGATTGTCTTAATTCGGATAAACCATGCTGTTCAACAGTATTACAGTAAATGTATTTCATCAAAATAAGTGTAAATGATAGAAATTTGTAGCTGCCACATTACTTTTGTCTTTAACACTGCAAACCACATGGTGGCGTGTTTGACAAAAGCAAGCACAGCTGTGAGGTGCAGCGACTATAACGATAAGAGGATTCAGTAAGGGTTGTGATGCTTAACTTGTACTTAGTCTGGAATAGCGTTATATTCTCAAGTATTTGAAATAGCGCCTTGCAAAGCCAGTCCTTCCCCAGGATACTGAGGAATGTTCTGGTGGTTTATCCTGGCATGAGGTCAGGACAGCCAGCATGGACTCGGAGACTTGGGCATTCAAGAGAACTCCCAAATCCTGAATTTTGGATGTAACAGAGATGATAAAACACTTAAGTTTGTATAAGCATTAGAAAGGGAGACCATTTCTTTAGCGTGATGCTGCAATCATAGGTGGAGATGAACAGAGTAAATAATTACTAAGTGAATTCTTTAAAAAATCTTTAAGAGGTAGCATGGGGAAAACATGCTATTTTAGAATCAAATAATGGAATGGAAATGTTCAGAGCTGAACAGTTAAATTCAAATTAAAAATGATCTTTCAACTCATCTTTAATTATGGAAGTCTTCATTATTGCACATTCAAGTACAAATTCAAATACAAAGATTAGAGTTACAGCCCTTAAAGAAAAGGACTTTTAAATTAGATAAATACTTCTGGCGTTTTGCTGCAGAAGTAGGTATTTTCAGTACCTGGCTGTTTTGTGGACTGATGCTTTCAGGAGTGAGCTGAAAGTTGAGTTTCTTTGGTAGTAACACAAATAATTGGAACATACATTAAATAAAGATGGATTCATTTCTTAAAAGCAAGTTTACTTGAATGCTATCAAGAGTCTTAGAGGAAAGAATTTTTATCACTATAGCTGTGTAGATACCATAGCATGCAAATGTTTAACTCTCTTATAAAAGTTCAGCAGTGATAAAGTGTCAAAGTGGATGTCAGCGTTGTTATGAAGTGGGCCGCATACGTAGTAACTCTTCCTTTGTGCTTGTAGAGCGAAATAATTCGAGATAATCCTGGCATCCTGGACTGCGTGAAAGAAGGAATCGGCAGAGTTGTGGGCATGGGAGTACCCCACAGCAAGCGTCTCCTTCCTCTGATGGTCTTGACTTTTCCAACTGCTCTACACGGGGTTCTTCACTACGTCATCAGTTCCATCGTCCAGAAGCTTGTTTTGTTTGTTCTGAAAAGGGATAATTCCCCCAACCTTCCGACTGAGAGCTCTACTTCTGTGCAGAGCATGCTGGATGCGTATTTCCCAGAACTTATTGCCAGCTTTGCTGCCAGCCTTTGTGCTGATGTCCTGCTGTACCCACTGGAGACAGTTTTACACCGCCTTCACATTCAGGGGACACGCACGATAATCGACAACACAGACCTTGGCTATGAAGTGCTTCCGATCAATACTCAGTATGAGGGAATGAGAGACTGCATAAATACTATAAAACGAGAAGAAGGAATGCTAGGTTTTTATAAAGGATTTGGAGCTGTTGTAGTACAGTATACTTTGCATGTGGCAGTTTTACAGCTTACCAAAATTATTTACTCAACACTGCTTCAAAATGTTTCTTAATCTGTTCAGGTGTGAACACGAAGTTTGAAGAATCCACTCCATGGGTTCTCCTTACACTGTAAAGAAACTTGTTTTAAAAATGGGGATATAGATACCTAAGTGTAATTAAAAAAGTACTGTTTAAATTTATAGACACACATTGAATATGTAATGTGCAGTCATACAGAAGGGGATCGAGTTTCAGTTGTGGTTGGGGTGAGGATTTACCTTTCTTCTTACCAGTTAACTGACTTAAGGAATGGATATGAATTCTTAATATCTGCTTTATAAACATCACATCTGATATATAATTTGGACTGCTAGTCAGTTCAAAGGAATTTATTTTCATAATTGTAAGAACTTGCATGTGGAAGTCTGATGGATTTACTGATCTTTTAAAAATGTTTTCAACTTCACTGTTAATGGAGCTGTGAGCAAAATAGGAACTGTAGAAGTAACCTAAGTCGACATAAATGTCATAATTAACAGGTACATAGAAGAATTCTTACTTTGCTGCGGTGTGGCACCAGACGACGAAGACAAATCTTTTGCTTTATACAAAATAATAAAAACTTGGGCTTGGGCGAAGTTGCACAGAATGCAGACTTGGCTGTCTTGCAGTTTGTTTGCAAGGCTTACATTAATGGAAATGTGTGAATAAAGCAAATTAGAAACTGAAGTGTGCATGTGTAAGTGCCATTTTTAGTCTACTTTCCACTCGTAACTTCAGGGTTTAGTTTTACTCTGCTACTTTGTGTACGAGTAGAATAATCTTACAAATGTATGTAGTATCAGTGTTCAAAGTGTATAGAAAGTGTAAAGAATTAGTTGGCTCTTTCTAGCATTTCTCTTTTGTTAGATCAGAGAGGTATGTACACAATTATCTGCTTACTATCTGGCACTGATGTCCTTCATTCTAAATCTCTGCTGGATTAGATATTCTGTGGAGCAGAATTAAGTCTGTTTATGTGCAAGCAAACAGCTGAAATGTACCATATCTGCCCTCTTCCCCTAGTAAATCAAGACTTCCAGTCTGAAAATGAATTCTGATCATTCTAAATAACTTAGTCCTCTCTTGGTTTCATGAATAAATATAATGAAATTTGGGGGGGCGGGGGGGTGGATGACTTTTAGCAAATAGAGCATGTGGAGAGTCGCTTTTAAATTGTACGAGAGGCTGCTGCCTTTTCACACTCATGTGGCAAGTCTATCTTTGTGAATACTGTAAACTGATGTGCATTTTAATCATTAATCATTGTATAGTAGTTATCACTTATGGAAAACAGTCAAGGCAAAATACTGAAAAAGTGTTGCTGTTCAAAGTTCTGACTAAGTCACTTGCAGGTCTACTTTGCTGTTATTAATCTAACTTTCATGTATTTTAAATGCATAAGTGTTGAAAAAGTATAGTGCACTTGGGAACTGGTTTTATTTTGAAATATTGTTAATGGCAAATTTAGTGTATAGAATGGAAGCAATGAAATAAAATGAGAATTCACTATAAATATTTTGAAGTAATTCACTGAAGAGGCATGTAAAGGAATACAAAATTTGTGTGTTATATTTTATTGTGTACCCTTCAGAGTGGCTTTTTCAGGTTTCTCAACTTTCCTAATGGAAGAACATGTTGGATTAAACTACATGCAAGAACTTGGATAAAATATTCAATTCCTGCTTATATTTTTTAAGTGAGTATGAGGAGAGATATATCAGAGAACCATCCAACTGGAAAGTATCTTGGCAGGTCATCTAGTCCAAATTCCTGCTCTAAGCAAGGACAGCATTGACTTCAGAGCAGATTGTGCACGCACTTGTCCAGTCAAATTTGGAATTCCAACTTTTAATACCTAAAACTGGCATTTTCAAAGGTGTTAAATTCAATGGAAGCCAACTATTCGATTGCAGTTGCCTTGAAGCAGTAACAAAGTGCACGTTGGAGACCGTCATCTGCAGATCTATTTGGTGAAATTAGGCAATAATGTTTTTCTAAGAATAAAATTTTAGAGAAGGCATTTTGTCATACAAAATGAAGGATGTGCCTTGCCTTAATGTATTCTGCAAGAGGCAAGATGGTGACTTCTCAGATCAGCGCTAGAACACACGCTTGGTTCAAACACTCTTGCTGTCGTTGCTGAGAGTTTTGCAGTTGGTGTCTATGCTGGAGTCCCAGATCTGTAACTTTAAGAAGGGTGAGAGGGAATGTTGTCAACTTACAGCAACTCATCTGCGGTGGAAAAGCCATTTGCTTTGGGCTATTCTTTTTTGGTCTTCTTCCCGTGAGTTAGAAGGAACATGTTTTGATTCTTCACGTATACTTGCATTACCGTCCAAAAGAAGTAATACTCTGCTTTGTCCAGAGTTGCTATTTTTGCCCAAAATATAAATGCATGTGGGGTGAAAAAAAAAATATATTTTAACCTTTTCAGTTATAAGTGTATTGTTAATTATTTCTGATTATCATTTGGATCTTAAGTCTAGGTACTCAATTTTTCACTCAAATGAGTGATCAGTAGCTGGCTTTAGCATGATGTACCACTGAAAACTACAAAATACTGCATTGCTGTAGAAAGCAGATTTTTCATTATCTTGAATATGAAAAAATCTTATGCACTCTATTTTTCCTGGTACAAACTTAATTTTTTTTTTGGTACATTGTTTTTCAGACTTTTTCTTTTTTTCCATTTTTAAAGAAGAGAGCTGACTTTAAGAAGATAAAAAGTTACAGAAAGCAGACAGACTCGGTGACTTGGTGTAATGGTCCCACCCAGTGAAGAATTACTTGGCTTCTTACCCGGGCCTCTTAAAAGGCGAGGCTCGATGTGCGATAACTGACAGTGGACCAGGCAGGAAACTTCGAGATACAAAGCCTGCTGGAAACCATTGCAATTGTTGTTTCAGAGACTGCCTTACAAAATCAGACTTGGCTTTTGGTTGCGTTAGAAAAAAAGCTTTTAGATCTGGTGTTGGTGCAAGCGCTGTATTCTTCAGCAAGGTTCCAGCTACGTTTGTTCTACTTAGCAGGTCTGACTTTGGAGCACAGGTGAATTGATCTAGCTCTGGGTCCTGTTTGTAATACTGGAGGTGTGTGTTTTACAGATTTATGCCAAATTTGTAAGACTCAAATTACATGAGGGTTTTTTTGGCTCTTCTGAAATTAGCAGCAAGTTCAAAGCAAGTGTGTAATCTAATGTCCTTCTGGGATGGTCATTCAGGTGGATACGCACCTTCAGCAACAAACATGATGGGTGCAGGCGATGGGAATGAGGCCTCTCTCTGCATTAATAGGCAAGTTCTTCGTGTGCTGTTGAACTATTGACCCTTTCAATGATATCCAAGGAGAAGAGGCCACACACTAAATTTTTGGACTAAATGGTTGTTGCTACAAGACTTGACAGCAGCGTGTAACGGCAGCATTCCCCCACGGGAACAGAAAAAGGGGTGGTAGCAAAATGTGGATAAACCCTTTGTCTAGTTTTGTTTTAGAAGAAGTAATTCATATCTCCAGCAGGGACGGAAGAAGGTAAGAAGGTATTTAATCAAGCTCTGGTGTCATCTGTGTTTTAAAAGCAAATCTGTTTTTGAGGAGTTGGATAAAATTGTATTTTCAGAGTTTTTTGATGGAATAAAGATAATTTGCTCTTTGCCTTCAGCACTCCAGCCTTTCCACAGACAGTTTGGCAAATTGTGAACAAAATTTGAGGGTGGGAAAGAAGTAAGATTGAAAATGGAATGTAGAAATTGCCCAAAAATTCAGATAAGCAGAAATCCACAATCGGTGTTCTCAATTGCAACAAATTAATGAAGTAGAAATGCCCAAATGTTAGTGTTTATGGAGGGTTTCATTTGGAAGTGTATTTCTGCCTTTATCTTTCAAAAAGTGTTTTTAAAGATAAGTTAAAATTACAAAATGTTTTAAGCCCAACATATCTTGGAAACGAGCTCAACTGAAAGAACTGTTGTTCTTTCTGCGTTTTCAATAGCCGGGAGGGCGGGGGACGGGGGGAAGCCACCTACATCTTCCCTGCAAATCATGGCACCCTTTCAATGTATGTAAATACCATTATACAGCAGTCTAATAGTGCAGTTATGGATGATCTTTCTGTTATTATTTGAACTGCTAATGAGTTGGCTGCAGTTCACACTGCCTGGGGCGGCTTGATCTGGGTGAGATACCGTATCGCTCTGCTCTGGCTTTGAAAGTATAGGAACAGAATGTGACTTGTGCCCACCAAAGAAATAAAGTCAGAAGGCACGGTTTATCTGTTACCTGAAATTCTGAATCTTCCTCTTGCTTCACAGCCTTAAGGTTGACTGAGGCAAGTCCAGAACACACAGACTTGTTGAACTTCACTCTGTTCTGTGTAGGTGACTCATGTCTTTGCCCAAACAGAATTTTTAGAGGCAACAGGCTCATAAATTGGTGTTCCCAATTCTTGGGTTTAGGGTACCTCTAGAAAAATAAAACAGTAGATCTGCTTTTTCTGCAACAGTGAGTTTCACTTGCTGAAGTTTTTGATGTAATATTTGAGCCTTCAAGCACGTTGTGTAGGAAGGGCCACCGATATGCAGAGTTGCCTTGATTCCCAGCTGGTATCGTCTCTTTTCAGTACCCTTCAGGGCGAGTGTGACACCCTTTGATGTCCACGCAGACCACTGTTGTGTTTTATGGTCTCTACGGGTACCAGTCTAAACCTGCTGAAAAATGCAAGCACAGGCAGGATTTTCAGAGACTCTTACCCAGGGCCCAACTTCACATATGCAAAATGAGGCAGAAGGGAAAAAACAAACAAAGGCAGTGGGAAAGAAGATTCGTGAAACTGAGCTATGTGTGTGCTTACCAATGGGAGCACCTTAACAAGGATTAACAGCTATTTCAGCACAGCGGGGGGAAGGAGGCAACTTCTCATGTAGCTACATGTGCTTCAGGAGCCTAGAAGTGCCTACAGTGTTTTCTTCCAAGGGTATGGGCTTTGCAGTAACCATTCCGACATGCTTTGAAATGTTGTAAATTGCATTCAGTTTGGCTAATATATATATTTTTAATAAAAAGCAGCTACTCATCACCTTTATAAAGCCTGCTTTTACCGAGAAAACAGATGTGTCATATCCTCTTCTGCCATTTAACTTCATTGATTCGCCAACACAATGTATCCCGTAGAAACTCACTTGTGTGTTTTTCCCTCTAATACTTTTGTGTCTGATAAATGGTCAATGTAATGACCTTCAACCTTCATAAAAAGACGGCTGTTGAAAAATGGTTCCAATTGCTCCATGAAAGCGAAAATAATCATGTGTTTAAATATAATTTAACATTTTTCTCAACAGAAATGCTGAACAGATGTTTTAGGTCACAAAGGAAGCATTCTGCTGAAATGTAAAAAAAAAAATTAAAAAATTGAACTTCCTAAAATAATCAGTGTGAACATGTTCTATTGATAAATAAAGTATTAGGAAAAACCTTACAGAATGCAATATAAAAACTTGGAATTGTACTTAGGGGCTGAGTGGGGAGCTCTGCAACTGACACTTCTTGGGAAACTCATGCTTTTGCTTCCACAGCAGGACAGCCATAAGCATTGGAGTCCTCTCATATTGGGAGCCAAAAAGGAACAAAAAGCATGATGATTCTGCTCTGATGCATGTCTTCTTCTGTCTTCTCTGTAGCTCTAGGTTTTCAGTTGTGCATCAGGTTTTTTCTCCCCTACGTCAAATTAAATGTCAAGAGCTACTTCTCAAATCTTCAAACTCCGTGCCGATTGTGCAGACAGTTACCGGATCAGGAGGATTCCAGTTTTTTCCTGGTTTCTCATCAGTAGAATGATGTTGGGGTTGTGGGGGTGACTTCCTGATGATGTTGCAGACCTCTGTGGTGTGAAGGATGAGGTGGGATGTGCTAACACCGCTCTCCCAGTGAGGTAGAACTACCAAAGGAATGAGAACATGCCTTTTCTAGAGTTTGTACAAACCCTACGTTTTCTCCCTTGTCCCTCCTGCGCACCTTCTGTACCCAGGTATTTTGGGTCTGTGTTCTCCATACAGAATAAATGCAGTCATTCGTAATTAGTGATCTGATACCTGTTGTTTTCCATGGGAGCCACCTTTGTTTCCTTTCTCCATGGAAGTGCACAGGATGGCTTGGTGTGGGGCTTGTGTGTAGCATGGCTTGGTATAGTATTTTGTCAGCAGCTTGACTTCTTAGGGAAAAAATTGGAGGTTAAATACTGACCCTTACAATTAAGATCCCAGCAAAATGCCTGTATAGTAAGCCTCAGATTTACCGAACTACTCCTGACTTCAAGTTTTTCTTCTTTAGAGGGAGTGTTTTCTACCTAACAGGAGACACTTTCCACAAAGTAGAGTTTCTCCTTTTTTTTTTCCGGGTTCCCCTTTCATGTTCTGACTGGCTTTAAACACCATTTCTGTGCCTCTTTACCTAATAGCTTGTATACCCTGTCTTTAGTTGTTCCACCTTCTTCTCATCTGTCTTTTCTTTCTCCTTGGTTAT